ATTTTGAGGCAGCAGTAGTAATACGTAACATTATACAATTTTCTGACTCGAGCACATTCCTTGGCAAAATGAAACTTGGAAACTTTTGACGCTATTTAATTGAATGCATTATGAGTTTTGTGCATTTTCAATTACGTTCCATGCGTCAATGTCATCGTCGTTGTTGTCGCTGTTGCTTTTTTTTTTTTAAATTCATTTCAATTTTATTTATCATAATTAACTGTTCATTAATTTATCCTTTTTTCGGCACTGACGCTCGAAATGGAAAACCCATCATTAGCATCGGACGGCCAACATATGGATAATCGGGCTGGCGCACAACCAACAGGAAAAAAACCATACTCGAATAATTGTAATAATAATACCGTAGTTTTGTGAAAATCGATTGAATTTTTTTTTCGTGTGTTAGTCATAAAGCACTGTCTGCAGCCACATTAACACATAATCATTTATTCATCGTTTTCTTGTCATTACCTATTCACTTTGTCCACTCATTTATGAGTTTGGATTTAGTTGTACCGAGATCCTCTGTTGCACACATTTGGCCTCAATCGTATTTCTAGCGGACGGGCGCTCGCTTGCTCTTCTAGCCCATCGAATAAATCTACATTTATGACAAATGTATATCACGTTTTATATGTGTTAATTGATGAAAATGCCCGAAAAATCTAAATATGGCGTAATAGATTTTGAAAAATGAATGAAATGCGAATGTCGAGAGATTTTCCTGAATGAATTATCATACACAACAATATCGGTATTTTATCGTTTGTATACCAGATTTATTATCGAATTATGTTCGGGGTTTTTTGTTTTCTCTTGTTGGTCATTCATTCATTTATTTGTTCGTCCCTGTGGCGGTAAGTGAGTTGTCTGTCTGGCCAAAACATTTTGTTGATTTATTTTTACATGCACGTGGAATATAATTATTCCGCCAATAATATGATGACTGCCTTTTGAATTCAATTAAATGCCATACGTGGAATATTCAACCGAATGACTTGATTTTTGCCCATAAAAAGCATAATATCATGATTTCCATGGTTGGTAAATGGAAAAATTCTTGCAAAAACTGTCAATTTTAAAATACCTAAATGTGGTTGCTGTTCATATGAGAAAAATGTGTCAGCCAAAATCCCAGCATATCACTTACATTGTCATATCGAACAATCATTGTCACAAATACATAAAAATTATTTTCCAATTTCCATGGTTTCAAGAATATGCAAGTTTATTCAATTTTGTCTGCCATCTTGCCATATACACAGGCATTTGATATGCGAGCAGCAGCAGCAGCAGCAGCAACAGCAGCGCCTTTGATTAAAAATGAATTTTTCCCATTTATTATGCTTTGAGATTGTTGCGGTTTCGTTCTTGTTGAAAAAGTGCCAAGACTTGCTTTTGCTAATGATGAAGCTATTTTCGCAAGGAAAATAGTTTAAATTTTGTTGAAAATGAACTTTCTTCCGTAATTTTCATGAAATTATTTAAATTCTAGTTGATAATCGATTTTCTCGGGGGAAAATACTTGTTTGCAAGTTTACATCGTTTCTTTGAAGAGAAGAAAAAAATACGTAAATATTAAATGAAGTCATTACGATGAGAAAATAGTCGTTGGACGTCAAGTTTACCAACGCAAAAAAAAAGACAAAACTTTTTTTAAGTGAATATAATATTAGTATTCACTTCCCAGAATAAACAGATAAGTAACATAGATAAAAAAAAATGTTACCACAAAAAGTAAATGCCACAGAAGTTTGTTCGGTGCTTTTTTCGTCCACCAATCAATTGTTTTGCATCAACAAAACCATTTGCAATTTCAACCGATGATGATTTTTTATTGAAATGATTTTCGTTTGCAGTATTTATGGAGTTATTTATAGTTTGTGGCTGTTCCGTTTCAATTGATTCGTTTGGAGTTGTTTCTTTTCTATATTTCAGGATTAAAAGCAAAACACACGAGCAGAAAAATTCTCTGGAAAAAATATATGGAATACTTGTTGGTGAGGTAAATGTTTTTCTTGGAAAAGTATGAATGATGTGGTTAAAAGTTATGCAGGTCCATGCCAATTAGCTGGAACAAGAGAGAATGGATGCTTTGATCCTTTGTACACATATTGAGATATGAACGCGTCTTTTTCGTCATCTGTTTATTGATTTTCATTGACAATCATTAATTATGAAGTCGGTATCTGGGAAGAAGTTTATGGCATTTTTGCATTCTCACTCATTTGATAAATTGACGGAAAAGCATTTTCGGAAATGACGAGATGATGTTTGTGTGTGTGTACTCGTTCGCTAGCTCGTTTTAATATTTGAGTTAATTAACGGCAAAACGTGGCAAACAAAAATTCATATTCTCTCTCTGTCTCTCTGTATTGAAGACGCAAACGTTATTGCTAGCGGGTGGAAACGAAGACGATGATGTTCATCTTTGGAAATTATGATGCAGCACGAAAATTGCATCATGCTCCATTGCCAAACAAAAGTCTCTCGGTTCGAATGGAACATCGTTCGAAAAGACTTATGAATAAGTACATCGGCTCTTGGAATTTTTTTTTTTTACTTTTTTCTTCTTGTTCGTTTCATGCGACAAGACGACCGTTGAGTGAGCGAGAGAGAGAGAGAGAAAGAGAAATCGTTATTTCAGCTCTTTTTCTCGCTTGCGTTTGTTCCATCGTTTTGTTTATGTTTTTCCTTTGAATTCGTTTTTCCTTTTCTTTTGAAGTGTGTAGCTTTTTTCTCTTTTTCTTCTCCCTTTCACTGCCTCATGAGCACAAGATATGTGTAAGATGAAATTGTGGAACAGAGGCAAGCGTTTTATGTTGTTTGTGCCAAGTGCTTGTCGCCGCTTTATTGCGCTTACTTTTCTATTTAAGTCATTTTTCAAATTAATTACTTACTCTTTGCATAAGTTTTCCCTTTTATACATTTTATTGCACACAAGTAACTTTTTCTCTGTCTCGTTTGTTGTGCTTCTCTCTCTGTATGTTTATATATGTGTGTGTGTGCGCGGGCCGTTGCTGCTGCTGTTGATTTTGTTGTTTTTTTTGCACAATTTTTAATGAAATTAAATAAATTACGTCGAATATACCAGTATAAATTATTATAATCGCCCCAAAAGCTGCACGAATTTTTTTCCCTATGAAGTTGAGAAAGGGAGAGAGAGAATGTGTGCGCGCGTGGGGCCATTTGGCTGGCACAAGCAAAAAAATTGCACATTTGTTGCATGATCACGGTCATCAATCAAAGTGCATTGAAAATGGCTTTCTACCAAATCATAATTCTGTCATTAATATGCGCCGAAAGTGCAGGACATTTTCAATATGCCACTTGACGCCATACAATATACATTTCAATGTGATAGAAAAAACACACCAAGTTTTTGCTGCTTTCAAAATTCAATGACTTAATATTTGTTTGGGGCTTTTTTGCAATCGCAATTTTTTTCTTCGTACAACATGTTTTTTTCTCCTTCTTCTTCGGTTCTTTCACTAACTTGACTTTGGTAAAAATCTAAAATCATTTTTTTGTTCTGGTTTGATTGTTTTCCTCTCCTTAAATGCTACGCATTTACATAATAAATAAATTTGATTTTTTGGTGACTCTGTGTAACCCTATACGTTTGTTGACTTAGTTTTTAGTACTTTATGTTCCTTAAATTAGGCTAGAGACTTTCGCTAATTTCGTTTTTTGCTTTCTTTTTTCACTTTTTTTTCCTTCATTTTATTTGATGTATGAGAGTATAAATGTGTGTGTGTGTGTATGTTTAATGATAGGTTCTGAATGGGGAGAGGGAGAGAAAATGCGTTGACAAAATGTGTGTTTGATGTGTTGAAAGTTGTTCCTTGAAGCGATGAAGAGACAGTGAGGTTGGTTTGAAATATATATGTACACACAGAAGAAAAAATATAAAAAACTACACAGTAAGATAAATCAAAACAGGATTTATGCGACAAATCGTGTAAAACGTTAAAAACGTGTAAAATATCGTGTAATTTTCAATGTTTCAAAGATGACGCATAATACGTTTGACAGATCCGTGTATCGGGTAATAGTATTGACCAATTCATTATTTTATTTGAATTTACACGATATTTTATCATTTTACACGATTTGTCGCATAAATCCTGTTTTGATTGATCTTACTGTGTAGTTTTTTATATTTTTTCTTCTGTGTGTATATATACGTAGAGATGGAAGATGAGAGAAGGAGGAGGCATGTACTAATTACGCCGCATGATATGATTATGGTTTTTGGTTTGGTGAGGGAACAAGTAATCATTCAATATGATAATTTTGTTTTTGTTGTTGTTGTCCGTGACACATTGTTCACACATCCATTTTCTACCGACCATTTAAGTATATGTAACAGCTATTTTGTAGAGAGATTGCAAAGTGCCAGCGATAGAACGCTGTCCTATGCTGAATTTACAGCCTCAGATGTCTATTCCGCTGCTGTAACGCATTCATAGTACAAATTTAGTTTAAAATTTTTGTTCTGGGGAAGTTATTTCAAGTTATTTTCAATGTGATGCCTGAGTATTTGGGGAATTCAGCATTGGACAACACTACATAGAGGCAGAACCACACTCTCTGATTTTGTATCATTGGTTTATATATGTATTTATATATGTATCTCACAGTTAAGTTTTCAATGACTAATTCAAATCGTTTGTATATTTATTTGTGTGTTTTTCTTTCATTTCGATTTCGTATAGTTTGTGTTGTCTATTTTACCCGGGAAAATATTTCAAATATACTATCATAAACATCATTATTTATTTACCTTCTTCATGAGGATTATTTCCAAAATAATCCATCCATTGTATTTTACACGATTGGTTCCGCATATTAGCATTTCTTCATATATATAGATTTAACTTTATGATATTTGCTATTATTACTAGGGGTTTCATTTTTCTTCCATCATTTTCACTTGTTTCAAAAAATATCAATTTTCACATAACACAAAGCCATTTTTTTTTTCTTAAAACTTGTTTTTTCTTTCTTTTCTTTTTTACTTTTTACTTTAGGAAAACACATTTTCATTGGAATTAAAAGCAAATCAAAATACATAATTAATGGAAACGAAAATTACGCTAGAAATTGCTTAAACAATATTAATAACATTACTAAGCTAAATGCCATTGGCTTGCTTACCGCACGATGTTCGGCCGCCGTATTCCGAACTGCAAAGAGAAGAAGAAGAAGAAGAAGAAAAAGAAAGAAATGAAACAAAAATGTCATGAAAAGTGGTCGGTGGCACTAAAATGTGTGAGGAAACATGAAAATATTATGAACGCATATTACTTAAAACGAAAAACGAACGAAATAGAATTGCGTGGAGGTGGATGCATGATGAGAATAAGTAACGAGTGAAAAAAAGACGATAGCTTCCATTAAAATCAATTAATGCTTTTTTTGGACGAAGAGGGGAGAAATTTCTGTGATCATGAATCCTCTACAGCCAATAACAATGCGACGAATTACTTCGTCAATGGCGAAGACGATGACGACGACAAAAAAAAAATATAACACGAATACTAAAGCTCTTTTTGATGTGGTAAACTCACATAAACGCGTATATGAAACCATATTCTGTGTGCTGCTTTATTTGATCGTTACAACTGTACTGTGGCACTCAGTGTATGTATTTGTTGCCAAGTGTATGTGTATGCACGCTTGCTTACGTTATGTGTTTGTGTGTTTTTCCTACGTTTTTCATTTAACGTTGTATTTTATTATTATGGTCTTCCTTTCGCATTCAATAATCATGTGGTCACGCTATTTTTCTTTTAGTTTTTCACATCAATTTTCTTCGAATGCACACACAAGGAGCCAGCCGATGTTCGTGTGCGTTTCAATAATAAAATATATGATATTCATGGCATCGGCATTTAATATCCCTTACACTTTGCGCTTCGAAGCTGTATTATTTAGCAAAGAGAGAAAACCTAACGGTCGCAATACAAAATTCGTCGAACGCAATTCTATTCATCTGTGAATAAAAAAAACAGCAACAACCACACAGAGACTTGGTTTGCGTAAATTAACATGAGTTCAGGTCTTATTCTCGAATTTGGTTCGTTTGAAAGGCATAGAAACTCTTTCTTTGTGAGAATATGTTCTTCTCGGCTGTGTGTCTGTCTTTCGTTCTTTCTTTTGTGCGTATGCCGATTTTCATTTCAACATTTAGCTTGTTTTATATCGTGTAAATACGTAAAACGTGGCAATATACCACACACAAAACATATTAGCTCAATCGACAACGACAACGATGAGGACAACGTGAACGACGAATATTTTATTTTTGTGTGTTGTTTGAACGACATAAAAATATACTCCGTAAAGGGAACAACAACAAAAAATTATCCGTGCAAAAGTGTATGTTGTCACGAATGTGTCGAATGAGAACAACTGAAACGCGCGATATTTTCGATCGAATGCGTACATGCTTGACTGCCACAAACACACTCCACCGAACAAGACCAGCAACAACAACAGGAATGAGCGCACACATACCTTTGGTATACAAAACAACGGAATTCTATTTCGAATTTAATGGAAACATTTGTGACGGAGAGTGTGAATGAATTTTATTTGCGATCGCATGTCGCAGTTAGCGGAAGTGAATGTACGCTTTTTATTTAAGACTCCAAACATGGTTCCCAGCTATTATGCACAATGAATTACAATGTAATGCCCCACAGCGAGTATACTGAACACCTTTTGCCCATTCAATCCAACTTTCAATTGCCTCTATTTGAAAATGTTATTTCAGCCCAGAAAATTACGGCTGTCAAAATCAACGACAACTGTACGGTCAGAACATTTGGTATCTTTGGAGAATATAATTGTCGTATGGCCCAATTGAAGCTAGATATAAACACATTTATACACAGAGAGAAAAAGAGAGAGAAATCCTCAATGCAAAAGCTCTGTAATTGATCAAAAATCGAAATAAATCGATGGCTGTGAAGCAATTTCACTTTTCGCTTCCGGAGCGAGTGTCCTATTTCGTAATTGCATTAATTTTATCATAAATATTTGTATTTCTCGGTAGCATTGAAAACATCAATTTATGTATGCAGTGGTGAAAATGCGTGCCTCGCTCCTTTGTCACTATATGTATATTCCCTGGCTCGTGCTCCTTGAATCGTGAAAAAGGTGATGTGGTATTTCGCCTCGCCAAAGTGCCAGCACACACAAACCATCGCACGTTTCAGCATTTTTAGCCGCATTGGCATATTGCGTTCTTACCGCAATAATAACACAGGTGTACAGTGAAATTGGAAGGTTGTTCTGTTATACACCTCGCTACATATAATTAAAGACTCAATTAAACAATCCTCGGGTGAAATGGGAAAATCACGCCATGAATGTGCACCACTGAACGGAAAATAGTCGAACGAAAGAACAGAGGAAAAAAACACACAACTCTTGACAAAACTACCCAAATGACGGGAGCCTATTCGCTACACACACAACTCACCGGAACTATGAAAGGAAGCGTGAGCGAGCAAGCAAGCAAGCAAGCGAGAGAGAGAGAGGGAAAATTGGCAGAGAACCACATGAACACACAGAGCAAACGGGTAAAAATGTGTGATAGTGAGCTAATTACAGGCCATGTTAATGTTATTCTAATTTTTGATTGTAATAATTGAGACCTTTACGTGAATATACGTAGAAATGTGGACAGGCATTATGAGGTATGACGCGGCGTCGCTTGTGACACAATGACTATTTATTCTGATTACTTTAAATTTGGCGCGCGCTCGTTCATTCGCTCGTATCGGTTTCACTTCAACCGGCCTATGTGCTCATGGCTCGATCAAACTTTGATTTTAATGGCATTGGTAAAGTGGCACACTGGACACTCGAACACCACCACACTCGCGCGCACACATGCGGATTTTGAGTGGATAAACAATGAAAAATTACAAAACGTAAGCAACAAAATGTTTCCCCTGATCCTAATGATGCGGACGAAATATGCAAATAGAAGGTCAGCTAAGGGGAGCAAATGTGTTTATTTCGCTGGCTGCCCAACAACATACACACTGAGAGAGCTGTGAATCGATACAAAAACCATTTGCAAGTACCCCCATTTCAAACTCAGCACGACACACAAATTATACTCGAAACCATCAACTTTCATTTCAAGTAAGAAAAAACAAGAGAAGCGGACGAGGAAGAGAAGAAAATTTGTGATTGCGCTGTCATTCTTGAAGTTAGATTTTTTTCGTCGACTTTTAAGTGAAATAATTTCGAAGAAAAAACTCTTCAAAGACGCAAACGATGATAAACTTGTTTCGTTTTAAACAGCACAAAACGACCAAATGATTAGTTTTAAACAATCCGAGCTATTACCATGGGGAGAAATTGAAGTTAGATTATACGTCAGTCCTTTTCTTCGAAAACAATTTTAATCGAAAACTTTCCGATTAATCAAATAATTGCGGCTTCAATATCTAAAGTGAGTTCCATTGATACAACGATTTTGGGTGTTCAATTCAAAATATATGCTCGATTCTTTTCTCGTATTTTCAACATGGAAAAAGGAGGCGGATGAAATCAAGTATCAGTATTCATTTTCTCAAGGTTATTATTTCATCGTGCGTATAATTTCCGTCGTCGACACATGGGTGACATACGGTTCTCTCTAGAGAGTAGCTACTTAGGTGAAATTTAGTGATTGACGAAAAGAAAACATGGAAAAAACTGAACAAAAGAATGATGTCATTTGGGCTGGCTCAAATCAAAAATTTAATTCAAATTTATTGACGAATTTAGTGTTTTGCTGACTGATAGGCACAAAAATGTATTCCAATCCAAAGCTTACATCATATTATGCAAACTTAATCATTAAATTTGTTGAAACTTGACTCCAGTTTGTTTTCTTGGAAAATGGAGATGGTATTGCCTTTGGAGCAGCCACTGTGAGTGTGAGTTGAGCATGGAAATTGAAATTCAAATAACTGAAATGAAGTAAATGAAAAAATTCCAAGCACAGTTCAATTTTTTTCTCCCTCTTCCTTTCTTTCTCTGTCGTTTCTTGGCTCTTTGAAATCTCTAAACTTAAATTATACGAAAGATGGCAAGAAAAAAAGAAGCGTGCGCTCGCGTACGGAAAAATGCAAAATAAGCATTTGCCAAGTTTGGGCATTTATTCAGTAAAATTTGACTAGCGCACATACACACATAGTCAGAGTCGCATTCTTAAAATGATTAATTAATTATCACAGTGAATTGCGTTTGAAAAGTTGCAACAACACACCAACAAAAGTGTCGAGATAGAACAAGAGCGAGTGAGCAAGAACTTGACTCAAAAATGGAAGTGGTTAAAAAAAGCACAATGAGAATGACGTTGCGAGAGATCATTGAGAATAAGAGAGAGAGAGAGAGAGAGAGAGAGAGAGAATGGCCACTCGTCGAAGAACGCGCTATTTATTTGGTGTACTCATCCATTCTTCAAGTCACATAGGTAGTGAGTATTTACATAAGATGTAATTTATGGCACGAGCGCAAGCAGCCAACGAGCTTACAATGAATTTTGAGAGCAGAGAATGAAAAAGAGAAAGAAGAAAAAGTCATGAAAATTAAAATGAAAACCCTTGACTTTCGAGCAATATGCTTGCCCGTGCTCTCGTTCCTGCGTTCCTTTTTTTCTTAATTTTCTATATTTGCCACCATTCGCTTGCTATTGTTTTGGTGTGTGTTTTTTTCTTCGTTCATTCTTTGGTGTTCGTGATCGTTGTCGCCATTGAGCGCCGAGAATAAGTTTTATTTTTCACGAAACTATGTTGCGAGCGACTGAAAGCATTAGCCAAGCGCCGGTGCGATATCTAATTTTTCGAAATATTCTTAATAATAATCAGCGACAAAAGCTTGGCTCAATTAATCGCGATATGGCAAATAATAGCGTTACCTTGGAACAAAAAAACGCATCCGATGAAAAAACATAAAATAAAAAAAAACAACGAAAGAAAAACCACACGGCGCTAACCCGTTAAACCAATCGCATTACCGACCAACCGACCGACGAATGGGTGTGAAAAACAAAGCCATCAATAAAAGTGTACCCATGAACAACGAACATTAATTATGTCGAAAAATATGTTACCATTCGTTACCCTGAGCATAAGAATGCTTACGCGAAATCGAAGACGAATCAAGAACCCGAGCAGAA